AAATGCTCCAAGACATAAAGTTCACCAACTCTACGCCCAATCCCAATTTGCCTCTTGGATACCCGATCTTACACAACACAATCAGAAATAGAGAAGACAACATCAAAACCCAACTCAGATAGTTGACTAATAGATAGGAGACTTAGAGACAGTTGAGGATTATAAAAGGCATGAGGTATGGACGAGGAAATAAGATACAAAATTGATTGAACTAACAAACATAGGGGATCCATTAGCACTAGCAAAAGAAATAGGGGAAGAGGGACAGACACAATTATTGAGAAGAGAGAAAACAGGAGTCATATGATGAGAATGACCAGAGTCAAAAATCCATGTGGTAGAGAGAATACCTGAGGTAAAGAACTATGCAAACCTAACAAAGTGGCGGTCATAGCAAAAGCCTGAGAAGAAAGGTCCTGATGGGCAGCCATGAATGACGAACACAACATAGACGAACAAAAGAGACAAATCAAAGAAGAACCAGGATGAACGGCAGAATCACAAGAAAGACTGATTCGTCAAGGCTGCAATCAAGGGCTACAAAGTGCACTGAAGCAGGACTGTTGCTGCGAAGAACTGAAGACGAGAAGGTACGAGAAGGTGCGACAGAGAAAGAGCACCTGCGATAAGCTGCGATGTGGCTGAGAGAAGACACAGGCTGCCAAGTGACCTGAGAGATAGATGGCCTGCAATATGCAATTTTTGATGACGGAGGAACTCAAGTCCTAGTGTTGCCGTCACAAAGTTCAGTGTATAAAGCACACAAGGATCATAGGGAAGCCTTGTCAGAACCATAAAGCTTCACCCAAACAGAAACATAACATGTTTCACTACCTGCGAAGTCAAACCTGTGAAGAACTGCAAGAATCACACTGGTGCAATGATGCGAAGGTTGCGAACTGCTGTAATGGTGATGCGAAGGTTGCGAACTGCTGTAATGATGATGCGAAGGCTGCGAACTGCTGTGATGGTGCGAACTGTGACTGCCGACTGACTTTCGGCTTGCAAACTTCAACCTCCGGTGCCGGAATGCCTAGTTGCTAGGGATGCCGTTAATTGGCTCTAATACCATATTACAAAAGGTGAGCAAAAGTATGTATTATGTTATTCATCACTAAAGACGGAAGAACAATATAAATAAGGCAACCAAAACCCGAAAAGCCTAATTACAAATAATAAGACTAAACTACCCTTAATGACTAAACTAAATAACAAGAACATAAACATAACATATTTCACAATCTGCTTTGATTTCCTTTGCTTTTGGTATGCTAAAGGGCACCGCATTACTTGCTAGAATTGGTGTGACTTTCGGAGCTAAAGTATGTGTGTGTGTGTGTGTGTCTGTGAGAGAGAGAGAGAGGAAGTTTTGCTAGAAAATTCTTGGCTATCCTCAAAAAGGAGGGGAGGCTTGGGGGGCAAGTATGTACACATTAGGTCGAAACTCTAATGCAAATATACACAGCCTAGCGGTGCAATACACCATTTTAGTAAACAAAATCTTCTGAAAATCAAATATGTGCTGCTTAAGCACGTGCAGCAGCTCATGGAATGTGTGGCCGTAATCCTGTAATGCGGCCGCAGGTGCCGACCTGCGGTTTGACTCAGAATGGGCGGCCGCACGTGGTTGACCATTGGGCCCCACGATGTCTCAGTCAACAACTTTGACTTTCGAACAATTTTGTTACTTTTATGCATCTGATTAACTCCAAGTTGACATTATTTTTTTATCATAGCATAAGTTTTTCTTTAGAAAATTGACAATTCGAAGTTGACCGGGCACATATCCCATGTCCTTTTGGAAAGATGTTTGAAAAGGTAATTTCAGCCAAGCAAAACAATGTTTTTGGGAGAATGGGCTTAGGGGATAGAAAATAGTCCTCAGTCTCAACAGTGGCCCGAGAATTGGAAATGTAACAGTTTAATTATTGGGGAGCATCCAAAATGCCTAAGTCCTAGGGCTGGTCAAAATAAAGTGTCTACACAAGGCTGTTTCATTCTTTTGTAAACCATTACCCAAAGGACATGACTTTGTAATTTGCATTTGCAGCTCATACTATTATAACTGAAAAAAATATCGATTACATTTATTTCAGGTCCCCCCTTTTTTTTCATTCACTTCTAGCTTCCAGTGGAATATTTTACTTGTCACAAAAACTTTAATGACTACTAATTCAGATGGAAGTAATATAATGATACTTTATAGTCAAAAGGTCTCCACGAGCATGGTGATTGTAATCTTTTGGTTGATTGATTTACAAAAGGAGGTTGTGCAGCATCTTAACCAAGTGATTTTCCAGTTGATAACTGGAAATTGTGATTTGTGGCTCTTTTTATTTAGGTATATATGCAGGCAGTGATTGAGAATTTTGGATTCACTAGGAAATCTGATAACGTGGCAGCTCACCACTTGTCGAACTTGACTTTCTGTATGGAGCAAGCTGTTTGTTTGTTTGGATGGTTGAAAATGTTCCATTCAGGTAGATTATTTCACTTTTATGGTATCTTTTTTATCAACTTTCCTGGTGAAAAAATGCTTTGATACTTTCCCTATAACAAAAACATATAAAAAAACACAGATTATATACTGGAACGCTAATTTATCTTCTGAGATCAATGAAATTGGAGAATCATAAGAGGTGGATTCAAGAGGAAGTACACCAGTATGGCCAATCCTTCCCCAAACATCTCTACAAAGTAAGGCATCTATCTATCTGTCTAATGCTGCATCTATCTATATTTTTAATGAGCACAGTCAGGCATCTTTTGCCATCAATGAGATATTGACAGTGCATGCTTTTCTCATATCCTATTCAGCTTACCTTAACTACACAGTGGACCTTATAATCTTTACAGTGTGAACCTTAACGTGCTGAGTTGGTGCTCCTGAGTTAATGAATGATTATTTGGTCAGAAATTGTACTCGTACATTAGACTGTCATGTATTGAACATGGCTTTAAAAAATATAGAAAAAAATGGAGTAGAAAATAAGGAAAGAAAATAAAGTAAATCAATTGTTTTGGTGAAAAAATGATTCCTAGAAGTTTCTCCATTATAGTCATGGTTGTCATATCTAAATAAATACATTCTTACCAAGGTTTTAAAAAGCAGCTGCAACCGTTACGTAACGCCGTTACATAACGGTTGTGGTGGTTACCACCACCCGTTACGGCCGCTATAGCGGTGTGACAGAAATTCACATGTGCAATAACTGTTTCGATGTCACATAACAGCTGTAGCAGTACCATAACGGTCGTAATGGTCTGTTACACACCATTACATCCTTTTACAATATTCTAAATATCTTCCATTCCCCAAAAAAATAACAAATACCCAAGTGATCCAAGCCAAAAAAAAAAAATCTCACATGAATTTTTTTCTTCATAATTTTTTTTTTATTTCATTACATTAGCATGTAAAATAAAAAATATATATAAATAGTGGTTCTATTTATTTTTATAATCATTTTATTTAATATTTAATTGTAAATATTTTTTATTTTGTTACTATAATGTGTTGTCTAAAAAATTTCTTTAAAAAATAAAATAAAATCAGTGGCTGAAAAATAATTTTTGTTTATGACACAATTTTTATTTTTTATAATCATTTCATTTAATATTTAATTGTAAATAATTTTATTTAGTTATCTGTAAAGTGTTGTCTAAAAAATGCCTCAAAAATAATTTTCGTTTATGGCGCAATTTTTATTTTTATAATCATTTCATTTAATAATTGTGAATATTTTTTATTCAGTTAGTTTAGGTATTGGTCAAAAATAATTTGTAGACATTTAAAATCAATTATTCTGAAAGCCATTAACCATTAAATGTAAAAAGCTCCTTTTATAGTGATTTGAAAATATAAAATATATTGCATTATACTTACAAATTAACAAAAATTAATCAAAATATATTTTAAACCCCAATAAATGTGATTCTAGAAAAAATAAAAATAAAAATATGCGCATCAGTAAGTTTTCTTCAAATTGTGCAAAAAAATTTAAAAAAGAAAAAAATCACGGTGCTGATTATTGCAACCGTTGCGCCATAGCCTTTACACCTTGTAACCGCAACCGTGCAACCACAACCGTAACCGTTTTTCGAAACCTTGGTTAAAGTTAAAAGTAATGATGTTACTAAAATGGGTCTGTTCAATGAATCCTTGTAGGAACCTCAATGTTATTAATAGCTTTAAGAATAATTGATTTCAAATATCTACAAAATTATTTTTGCCCAATACCTAAACTAACTAAATAAATAAAAAATATCTACAATTATGAAATGAAATGATTATAAAAATAAAAAATGTGTCATAAACAAAAATTATTTTTGAGCTTTTTTTTTATTTAAAAAAAGACATTTTTTTACACAACATTATATAGCTAACTAAATAAAATTATTTATAATTAAGTATTAAATGAAATTATTATTAAAAAAAAATTGTGCCATAAACAAAAATTATTTTTGAGCTACTTATTTTATTTATTGTTTTAAAGGCATTTTTTAGACAACACATTACAGTAGCAAAATAAAAAATATTTCAAATTAAATATTAAATGAAATGATTACTCCTTCTGTCCCAAAATAATAGTCTCTTTTGGGGAATCCAACTTTTTTTGGTAGTATAATTATTGTACTTTAAAAATATTAATTGTCCAAAATTACCCTTTGATAGTACATTTTTTGGGGAATATCAATTGTCATAATTGTATTTTTTGTATTATTAATGAATTTAAAAGAAGGGCAAAACAGGAAATTCATATTATTTTAGTCATTGATTTTTTAAAAGGGATTAATATTTTGGGACAATAAAAAATGGAATAAGGGACTAATATTTTGGGATGGAATGAGTAACTATTTATATATTTTTTATTTTACATGCTAATGTAATGAAATAAAAATTAAAAAATAAATTATAAAGAAAAAAAATTTATACAAGGTTTTTTCTTTAGGCTTGGATCACTTGAGTATTCATTCTTTTTTTATAAGCTTTTGGCTTCTTTTTTTTTTTTTTTTTGGGAATGGAAGCTATTAAAAATATTGTAAATGTGTGTAATGAGCCATTATGGCCATTACAATACTGCTATAGTCGTTACATAACACTGAAACAACTATTACACGTGAATTTTCGTCACACCGCACAAGCAAGTGCAACGGATAGCGCCTACCGCCACAACCATTATGTAATGGCCGCAACTATTACGTAAAACCGCTTTTTGAAACCTTCATTCCAATAGTGAAAGAACCAACCCTGCAAAATATTAACAAATTTAGACCAAAGACAACAATTAACTATGATTGGCATTAAAATTTGACCGGGTTGTAAAACAAACCACCGGGTTGTAAAACAAACCAAGCTACTTTAACTCAGTGTTTTAAAAGGCACGCTTAGGCTCGCGCCTAAGCTCGACGCGCAACGAGGTACAACCTTGCACTTCGAACAGGTCAAGGTGAGGCGTAATACGCAAGGCGCAACTTAGGTGCTAAGGCAAGAGCTGTTTTTCGAGGTGCGAGGCATGGGCTTCGTAGGCTTTACCTATTTTTCTACTCCAACTATTGATTAAGTGCTTTTTATTTCTTTTTTGAACTGCAAACTAGAAGCTTAGCTGTTTTGAACTTTATGTGAATGACCTTAAAACTTGAGGTTTTTGGTGGATGTGAATGAGATACTTTATATCTTTTGTTAGATATTCTATTTCTACTTTTAGAAGATTGAATGTTATGTTTATCAGTTATTTGAAATAGCGAAGCTTGCTTTATTATTTTTGGAATTCTATATATATTTGTTATGTTGAAAAGTTTGCCTTCTATAATTTTGGTTTTCTTCTACTACTTGGTAAGGTGCGTGCCTCGCCTCGCCTCGCACTTAGGCTATGGGAAACCTTATCGCCTCGGTGCGCCTAGAGCCTTTTAAAATATTGCTCTAACTCGACTTCTTAAAAGTTTGAATTGAAATTGGTTCATTATGTAAACAAGAGAAGCTTGAACATATTTGTAACTCGTTAAGTTTTCATGCCAAACTTGAATAACCTACATAGCTTAGTTCGACTCCGTTATACGCTCTATAAATAATTATTTGATTTCAGCTAGTGATAAACTCAATTAAAACTCATTTCAAATAGGCTCAAAAAGTAAACAAGCCAAGCTAAAATACATTTTAAAGTTTGCAAAGTTTTCAGTCCAAACTTAAACAAACATATTACTTATAGCGATTTGGGTTTTGACCCGTCACTTGTCGTATTCCAGACTTGGATCCGTACAATTTTGAATGGTTATTCATATCTTGTTTCCCTTGTCTCCTCTCTATTTTGATTATCGTTTTGTAATTGTGCGTTTGGAACAGGTTGGTTGCTTGTTTTTTTTCCAAACCTGTGACGCCCAGATTTTGACTCTTTTGCTCGAACGGGCATTCTTGCGCTCAAGCGGGCTTCACAAATTTTGCTCCTCCGCTCTAGTGTCCATTCTTGCGCTCAAGTGGGATTTGTCAACTCTCGGTATTTTTTTGCAGATCTGCAAATACTGGGAGAGTGCATTGGACGCTCGAGCATCCAATCTTACGCTTGAGCGGAGTCCTTCGTCTGCAAAACTTCTAGAATTGTGTATTCTACACTCGAGCGTAACTTTCCACGCTCGAGCGGACCTTTGTGTCTGACGCTCGAACGTCACTTTCCACGCTCAAGCGGACTGCGTGTATAACAGTCCGTGAAGATGATGTTTTATATCACTTTTTCATTCCTCTCTAAAACTTTCCAAAAACCTAAATCTTAAGTCTCTCTCTAAAACTCACCTTCTCTTATATTTCATTTAGATCCGTTGATCTCTTCACCCTAATGCCTTTGAGAAAAAGGTAGAGTGCATCAAAATCTTCATTTTGATTCGAACAAACTTGGATTTCGGTGTCTTTGGAGTTTCAACCTTGCTTTGCCCGTCTTCTCTTCTTAAGGTCGAGATTTTCTACACTTTGTTATGGGTTTTCACTTAGTTATTTGTCAATTGTGTAACAATGGTGGGATTTGGGGATAATGTGAACAAACCTAGGGTTTAGGTATGAAATGGAAATAGGGGTTTTGGTGAGTATGAAATAAATAAGTATGAGATTTGAAAATGAGATCATGTTGTGTCAAAATGGTTGATTTTGATATTTGGGTTGATATTTGGAGAAAGGGAATTTTTGCCCTAAAATGACTATCATGATTATTTTGTATAAATGATTGAAATTGGTGTAGTAAACATGAAATTGAGCGAGGGTTGAAATAGATGATGGAAATGAGTATGTAATACTTCACATCTTTGGAAATCTTGGATAAATTATCTGTCATGAGATTATATATCTGTTTAGAAATATCTGTATTGGGCTATCGGTGGAGAATAGCTATGATTGTTGTAGAAATTGCATACAGATTATGTGAATTGAAACTAATCTCTTGTTGGTTGTCATTGAATATGACTATTTATATACATTGTATATGTATGATAATTTGAGAGTGAAAAGGGAATGTACTCCACATATGATTATGTGTTTAAATACATTGCATATGTATAAATGATTGTTTGGGAGGAGAAAGGGAATGGACTCCATTATAATTAAGGTGGCCGAAGTGTCCTGGGTAAAAGTCTCGAAATTATACACGGGTGCTGATCCCACGGACGAAATATTTGTAAATTGGCAAGTTTGAAGTATTTATATGATGATAATGTGATTGTAAAACTAATGAGTTGTAGTCTCATTTGGGTTATTGAAAAATGATTAAATTGGCTCATGTAATGAAATGAATCAAATGGAAATGGATTAGAAATTGGATTGGGTATCTTATGACTATATAAAATGTGGATGCTTTATCACGGACATTGTTTATGCATATTGTACTTATACCTTTGTTAAACCTCATATATTGTGTTAGATTATTCCTACTGGGTTGTGGCTCACCCTATTTGGGAAAACCATTTTCAAGTATTGGTGACATGCTCCGCCAAGGCAATAGCTTGGAGGGACATTTGGAAGCAAGAACTTCTTTATTTGAATTGTATATTTTTGTAAAGCTAAGGGCTAAATGTGTGTGAGCTAGTTTCTCTTTTGTAACCAAGTCCAGACTTGGAAAGGTGTAAGCCGATAGGGCATTTACTTTGTTAAACTCTTTTGTATCATCAACTCTATGTAATGAAATGACTATTTACTCTGATTGATGTAGTTATTAACACATGTTTTGGGTTGTAATTATTGTATTATTTGGGGGCGTTACATTACTCGACTCGACTCTGCTGTCCTATACTTTGAAGTACAAAGGAAATTTCATCTTGCTACTATTATACATTATGTCAACAGACGTACAATTTCAGTTCATGTATTCAAAGATTTAGCTAAACAATAGAAAAATGTAAAGAACTTCGAAAATTAGCTTTTCAATGTACTTCTATTTATTTCTTAATTATTTGATATTCTTGGATTAACTTTATTTATATGAAATTCACTAACTTAGGCTGAAGAGCTAAACTCAAATTTCAAATTAGACATAATTCAACTTTGAAAGAAACAGGGATTATAGAAATAAAAACATAACTCAAATTAAAAACAGGCATTAAATGCTAATTCAATTGTGAAAAACAAAAAACAATAAATATGGTACTATTACTTACCAAATTTTTTGTAATTTCTAATAATGACAAAAGAAATTTAATTGAGTGCTCTATAATATGTATACTCACTTTAATTAATTTACTATATTTAGAACAAAAACCAGAGTTAAACCCAATGCCAAAAGGTAGGTTATTTGGTTTTGGCATTGGGTGAGAAAATACTTCATACACAGAAGGAAAAAATGTACTACTTTTTATTTATATACGTATATTTTTATTTTACTTCTTGTTATATTTTCTGTGTTAAATCTCTACTAGGGTATGCGAAGTTTTCACAATAAATGCTGTTTCGGGAATTATCACTGTGTATGATCTGGCTGGTAAAAATAAGAACAAAATCTAATTTGGTGGAAATTCATCGACGGTGTCTCTCTCTACAGTCCTCATTTCTCAAATAGGGCAACCAATCGTATCTCTCTTTTTAATCTGAATTCTATCTATGTATCTGTATACAGTTCTCATTTCTCAAATAGGGTAAGCAATCGTATCTCTCTTATTAATCTGAATTCTATCTATGCATCTGTATATCTATGTACAGTCTTTGATTTGTACTTTGCATGGAAGTGATTTTAATCATTAAGTGTGTTTTTTAGATTTGCATTGATGATGATAAGGGCTTTCTAGGGTTTGGTCTGATATACTGAATTTGGGTACTGTAGATGTGAAATCTCGAGTTTTCCAGATTCTGATTGATGGGTTTGGTTAATTTTGCTCTTTGCAAGTAAGATTGAGTAGTTAACACTTGAGCATTTTCTGCTTTCTTGAGTTTTGGATTCCATTCTGGTTTGTTCAGTCCATACAATGTATCTCATGACAAAGTTTTCTATTAGTGGTTGAAGAGACAGAGGGTTTTTATATTATCATTTTCTCTGTATTTGTTTCATGATCACTGAAATTGGATAGGAATGACTAATGCGGATGGTGTGCCAACTACTGTTCCTTGTGCTTTTCAGAAGATCGGTATTTTTAGTTAGTCCATTTTCATAACAGTTGGTCATTAATGCAGATGGTGATCAAAGTACTGTGTTTTGAATTTCTTATCACCAATTTATTCGTGTTTTTCAAAGTTCGGTATTTAGTTGGTTTGTTTTCATAACGGTTGGTCATTAAGAAGGTTTTTGGCATTCTAGTTAGTCAATTACATGATTACCTTTTTAATTTTGTCGGTTGTTCATTAAGAATTTTTCGGCATGAGGATAGATACAAATCTATGGGTTTCGTAAATAGAAACATGCATTTAATTGTGTTTCATTTGATTGTTATGGTTATGACTAACAAAAATGACCTGATTATGCGCCAATAATGTTTTGATCAAATAGTGTTCTGTGATTTCTTACCACCTATTAATCTGGGGATTTTTAAAGTTCGGTATTCTAGTTAATCGATTATGATCATTATCTTTATAGTTTTGTCGTTTGCTCATTACAAGGAGAGATGAACCTTTGGATTTGGTAAATAGAAAGATGTATTTATTTGTTATTTGATTTTATCGTTGTGATTATGAGACTAACAATGACCTAATTATATGCTGATAACTTCTTGTCGTTATTCTCCTTTTTTGCCAAAAGTGGGTTTTTATTGTCAATTCATTATTGTGGTGTATTAGTGCTTGCACACAGACAGAAGCAGCTCGAGTGCCAAGAAAATAAGACTTTGCCTAAGGCCTTGCACAGTAAGAGGCCCCACTTTTATGTCTTTTAATATTATAAAAATAAATTGCGATCACACTAATAGTTAAAAAAGTAAGGAAAGCTTTCTTAATCTTCAATGTTTTCTAAAAGATTATATTGTTGGTTTAAATTGGTTTTGGGAATTGAAAGTTCTAAACTTTAACTTAATTAGTATTTTTGCATTTCAACATAAAAGAAATGTATTTCAAAAAAAATATAAAAAGGCCTCATTTAAGTTTTTTATGCCTTAGGTGAACAAACTTGAGCCACCTCTGCACACGGGAGGAACATAAGAATTACACAAGAAACAGAGAGTGCAAAACATTGAAGAAATGGAGTGTAATAAGAATGATGCTGCGAGAGCTAAAGAAATTGCAGAGCAGAAGTTGAAAGAGAGAGACTTTGCTGGAGCCAAAAAATTTGCTTTGAAAGCTCAAAAATTGTTTCCCCTGCTTGAGGGTCTTCCTCAATTCATGGCAACCCTTGATGTGTACATTTCTGCTGAGAAAAAGATAAACGGTGAAGTAGACTGGTATGGGGTTCTAGGCGTGAATCCCTTGGCTGATAATGAAACGTTGAGGAGACACTACAGGAAATTGTATCGCAGTCTTCACCCTGACAAGTCAGTGGGGGTTAAAGGGGCCTTCAAAATTATCGCTGAAGCATTGAGTTTGTTGTCTGATAAGGCTAAGAGAGAAGCATATGATCAGAAACGGAATCTAAGCGGTATAACTGGGAATTCATCAACACCAACCAACAATGATGATTCCAGTGTAAAGGATCAGAAGAGTGCTGCTAGTCCCCGACTTATTCCAATTGCACCCCGTCCATCAAAACCAAACACATTTTGGACTGCATGCAACCGATGTAAGATCCAATATGAGCATTTAAGAGATTACCTCAATCAAAAAGTTCGCTGTCCAAACTGTCATGAACCCTGTTATGCTGTTGAGATGCCTGCCCCACCCAAAAATGGTCCGAATCCAACCACCTCATGGCCCTTCTACCAGCAGCAGCAGCAGCAAAATGTAAACCGTCATATGACAAACAACACATCTGCTTCAAATATGTTAAAACTGGGGTCTGCAGGCGTTGGTTCAATCAAAAGTCCAAACATTGCTTCTATGAAAATGAGTGCCAGGTTAGCTTCCAATGCTGGTTCCACTTCTGGACCTATGAAAAAGAGTCGCATTCAGGTGAATGTTACTGGAAGAGAGATGCTTAATCAAATGGCAATGCCTAATCAGAAGGTTTGCTTGGGAACAGCAAGCCTTAACACTTCAGGAACTGTTAAGAATAACAGTGTACAGGAGATGTCACAGTTAGAAATTCGCAATTTGCTGATAGCAAAGTCGCAGATGGAGATCAGGAAGAAGCTCAATGAATGGAACAAGAAAACTGCATTGGAGGCTTCAATTAAAGAGAGTAAGAAGATGGTAAAGGAAAAACCAAATGGTGGGAAGAAAGATGGAAATAAAAATGCTGCATTTGTGGACACTAATAATTCAGTACAGCCCAGAAATTCTTCCCTTGTCACTTCTAATATTGATTTCAATGAAAAGGCTGCTGAAACCAAGTCAATGAGTGTTCTAGATCCAGATTTTTATGAGTTTGATAAGGATCGGGCAGAGGAATCCTTCGGTGAAAACCAAGTTTGGGCTGCCTATGATGATGATGATGGCATGCCTCGGTATTATGCTTTAATTCATAATTTGATATCTACGAAGCCCTTCGAGGTGCAGATTAGTTGGCTGAACTCTAAAAGTAATGCTGAACTGGGCCCTCTAAATTGGATTGGATCTGGCTTTTCCAAGACTAGTGGGGATTTCAGGGTAGGCAAGCATGTAATCTTTAGCAATCTCAATTCCTTCTCGCACAGGGTCAAGTGGATGAAAGGCAAAAGAGGGGTCATTCAAATTTTTCCCAGAAAGGGAGACATTTGGGCTCTTTACAGTAACTGGTCTCCCGATTGGAATGTTCTTACACCAAATGAGGTGATACACAAATATGATGTGGTAGAAGTGCTTGAAGATTATAACAAGGAGCGAGGTGTAGTTGTAGCTCCACTAGTTAAAGTTGCTGGCTTCAAGTCAGTGTTTCACCAAAATTTGGACCTGCGAGAAGTGAAGACAATTCCAAGAGAGGAAATGTTTCGTTTCTCTCATCAGGTCCCTTCTTACATGCTCACAGATCAAGAAGCTAAAAATGCTCCCAAGGGTTGCCGGGAGCTTGACACTGCAGCTATACCTTCAGAACTTCTCAAGGTCATTGCAGAAGCCAAGGAGGTAGAAACAGTGGAGAAAGCTAAAAAGGCTACCAAAGAGGATGATGGGGTGGAGAGTTTCGGAAAAGCTAAGGAAGACTTGGATTTGGAGGAGAGTGGCAAAAGCACTGCACAGGAAGGGATGATTGAAGATTTCAAAAATATCGACACAAAAGCAAAGTCAAGCAATGCAAAGGAATCCGAGGAAGAAGAGATTGTGAAGGATACCAATGAAGGACGAAGCCAAGGAACAAACAAAGCTAAGAGAGGGTGAAAAATACCAAGGAAGCCAAGGAATAAACAAGGCTGCTTTGTGGTAAGTAATCACCAGTTCCGGTTTTCTTTTAATCTACAATGGTTGGGTAGAATAGAATTAGAAATCTGAAAATCACCCACATTAGGTAGTTGTAAGATTCTATGCTCTCTTTTCTTTTCTTTTCTTTTTTTCCTCTTTTTTTTTTTTTTTTCCCTTTTTCTTTTCAATCTCGGCAGTCAAACAATGTTTTTCCCAAAGCCCTTAACAATACTGAAACTGATCCAGCAGTGTTCGCAGTCACTGCTTTATAGTTTTGGAGACCCTACAGTTTTCTTTTGAAGTCACGACTCTTTTCTACTAGTTAAAAGACAGTTTGGAAGGGGTACTTACATGGCATACAGAGTTTGTGGAAGCTTAACAGCTGAATCTTTGTTAAGCTTAGCCCATGCAGTATGTAATACCTTATTTGCTTGATTTGTGTTCTGATACTCCGCCTGATTTGCTTGGTTGCTGAATATTTGTGTTTCTAAGTGGTCCTGTCCTGTGACCATCAAGGAATGGCTTTGGATGTTCAAACTGACCATACAATATGAGGGCTTTTCGGCTGGTCACTATTTGTGTTGTAAGACAGAGAAGGTTCATAGGTATAGAATGGAATCAAGGAAGCCCTTTGAAATACTCACTGAACAGTTCTTGCCAGAAATCTGACAGTAGGAGAAGCTTATGACCCTTCTTTCTTTTTTGGGCCAAAAATATTTTCTTTAGAATTTCTTTTCATGAAAAAATGTTTTTCTTGTGTTTGATTGAAACCCTACGTAGTGTGGTGTACAAGGTTTTCAATAATGGTAGTGGCCACCATAACAGTAACTGTGGTGTTGACATGGTAGCGGGGTGTAACAGCTATAGTGTAACGGCAACCATAGCCATGAATTTTTTACTTTTTCTCACAACTTTGGAAAAACTTGCCGATACACATGTTCTTATTTCAAAATCACATTTAGTAAGGTTCAAGATAGCTTTTTGTGGGTTTTGTTTAGTTCTTTAACATAATCTAATATATGTATTAATTTTTTACTCCAGTCTTAAGCCTCAATAGAAATTTTTCCCATAACTTTACTGATTGTATATATGGCTATGAATAACTTCTCCCTTGAAGTGAGAAAAAAAAATAAATAAATAAAGAATGTTTAATATTAAAAATGATAGTTACAAAATGCCAACATATTTACTAATGTAAAAATACGTAACATGATATCAAATGAGATATAATATGATAGAAATGAAGGAAAGATTTAATCTAAAACTAAATAGATATAACGAAGGAATGGAATCTAACTATTAGAGTAATAACGAAGGAATGGAATCAAATGAGAAAAGTAACGAAAGTTTGAGGGGGTAAAGAACTAAGCTCATCTAACTATGATAGAAACTTAAGCCTTGTAGAATTTAAAGATTTGACACCCAAAGCATGTAGATTTAAAATTTTCACATAAGTTCTATGAGCCTTTTGTATGATTTTAACAAATGATTAAAAAAATTTATAAAAGGTGGCCGTACTAACTCAGCGGAATACACAAGAGACTAGATATTGTTCTAGTAGACGAAAGAGGCTCTCAAATCCACGAGAAAATAGAACCCTGCATTCACAAGGAAGAGAAAATATCTTAATATTATTGAATAAAAGTTATTTTTCCATAAGGCTTGCATAACTATTTATAATAGTCTAAACCTTGGAGACCAAATATTCCTAGACACCAAGAAATCTAAAATTAAGAAACAATCCAACTAGTCTAATTCTTGGGAAACAAGTAGCCTACAAATTAGGAAAACAAAATAAATCTAAATTAAGAAACCTAATTCTAAAATATTTATACTAAATTACAAGAATCCTAATAAAATAATATATCAAAAATATTAAAACTAAAAATACAGAAATTCTTAAAAACTTGTCCTACATCACTTATATACAGAATATGTTGAAAACAGAAGCATAACGATCGTAATGATACTGTAATAGCCTTTATGTAACAGCGGCGGCCATTACAATTGAAAAGTTCTATCACGCTGCTATAGTGGTTGTAACTACCGAAACCATTACATAACGATTGCGGCCGCTTTTTAAAACCAAGGTGGTGTATTATGGAGGCGGTGACATTGGTAAGATTTTGGTCTGCCTCATTAGGTTTGAAAAAAAAAAATTCACCTGTAAAATATAGAAAATATTTTCTGTCTAAATTAACACATTTTTCATTGACAACAAAAATTGTTTTGTTGAATTTCATTATTTATCGCACTAAACACTTAAAAATGTGAAAAGCAATTCTCAATAAGAAAATGTGAAAATTATTTTTCACCGAAACAAATTAAGTATATGGTCAAGGTTTATATGTTGATCCAACCTTTCTTGAGAGTATGGTGGTGAGAGGTCTCACCAGTAAGGAAACGATGGTGCATCTCAGATCACTCCCATGTGCCCGAAGTGAGCTTTTATGCACGGTTTCATTCCGTTTGCACCTTTGGTTGTGCAAGGCTTTTGTCCTTCATCTTCTCCACGCTACTCCTTCGTTCAAGAACTGACAAAGGCCCATCTTCAATTCCCATTACTCAAATTAAACACAAAGATAATGGTCTCACAGATGGCACTAATTGTGTGACGATGAATTTCACAATTATAGAATTGGAGCTCTATGACGGATTGAGGGAATCTAGGAACCATGACTTGCGTGGCAAAGAACACTGCAAGCACTACCTGGCTGGGGTATGGCCCGAAAAACCCCTCCAATGCTAAAGTCAAGAATCCAAGAATGAGAGTTTAAGAGCAAATAAATACAGAGATTTAGGCTTTAGAGAGATTGAGGCCCCGTTTGGGGACTTACTTTTTTAGCCAAAAAGTCAAAAAGTTACATTTTTAGCTAAAAAGCCAACAGCTCATACCAAAAAGTCAAAGATTCTCTTTTCTCTCTACTTTTTGCACATCTTTTCATAATTAGCTAAAAAGTCATCCCAAACATATGAGTTTTTTTTACTTACTTTTTTAGCCAAATAGTCAAAAAGTTACTAAATTAGCCTGTTCCCAAACGAGGCCTGAATGTCCGCTAAAGAAGACGATGGTAACCCTCTATAGTGTTGTTCTCCTTCCCTGCTCTTCAAGGTGCACATGAGATAATTGTCTCACATCCTCCATGCTCAAATCATCAATGTGATCAAAGAGGAGGAACTGCATATTCGATTAAGCTTCCCTTCAATGAGGGTAATCTGTTACCTATATGACAAAAGATCTTTCCTAATCTAAACTTATTCGATATCTAGAACTTCTTGTGGTGTAGACCTCTCCATGGACATACCATCTCCAATTTACATAGGCACTTTGGTTAGTTCTTCCTTGGTCCTAAGTCTACTTCTATGTATTGTCACTTCTGAGGGCACTTGGTCAAAGGTGACCAACCAAGCTCATGGTGGTCCAGTCCAATCCAATCCAATCCAATCCAATCCAAAATCCAGTCTGCCCATAAGGCCTATCCACTCGGCCCTACTAATTGCACACTTACCTACCCCCATTCGAGTTTGGATTTGTTAAAGTTGAAGATCTCAACTTCATAAGTAAAGGTGGCATATTATGGGACTAATCTATACTCATGTTTATAATTTAAACCGTTCATCTCATATGACAAGCTAAGAATAATATGAATGCAAAAAATTAATTTGATCAGACATAAGTATTTCACATGATCAAATCACATATATATTACAACAAATGGATGATCTATTCTTAAAAACATGTTGGCCATACAGAGCACGTCACCTTTGTGATAACCAAAGTAACATTCAAAGTCTTTTGACCCCAAACATCTTCCCAAGCATTGAGCACCTAATCTCTCATTCATGAAATTACACAGTTGTGAGAGCCAAAAATAGCACAGAATTATGTGGGACCAGGCGCAGACACATGGCACAATGGTGGTAGGTAAAAATACTTTGTTCGGTCAAGTTGGTTGTATGTCCAGGCAGTCATTTGTTCGGCTGCTCTACTCTTTCCAAATATTCTATTTGGATACTCTGTCCGCGCTGTTTGGCCACTCTATTAGGCCATTTTGATAGAGACAATCTAGGAGAATCCCAACAGTTTTATTTCTGGATAATGCTTATTACTTTCAAATACAGGGGCACTATCCCACAATTAATAAAGCAACAATTTGAGTTAATTATTCCATGTGGAGGTATCCATGCACAATATAAAGAGCACAATCCCAAAGGGTCAAGTACACAATACACAATCTTTACAGTAAATTGATTAATCATTATATTCATGAAGGTGGTGCGGACTTAAGCATTGAAGTGCAACAATGGCAGTGCTCTTTTTTGCAAATTCATTGCACGTTGGTCATTCCTTCGTCAATCTCTCTATGTGGTTTATTTTTTTCCCCACACAACTCTTTTTTAGGTAATGCATTAAAGTGCAGAGAATCCCATATCTCTCTTTTTCAATATCATCAACCTCCAAAAGAGTTAGGTTTCATATATTATCAACCATGTCCGTCAGAATAAGTTTGATGATCCAAGTTAAAGAAACCTAGGTTTCATATGTTAGGTTGCATTACTTTTCCTATGAGAACAACACAAACACAAGATTTAAATAAGAAAATGCCAATTTTCCCCAAGTTTCTTGGGAAGCAAACAGAGTGCACAGAGTAACAAGAAGAAGAGGTGTATGTAGGCGTGGGTATTGAAATTTGAAAGTGGTTTACATACCTTTGTGATGCGAGGAATCAGAGGAAGCGTCGCCGAGTACGGCGTTGGAGGCGGTGTTGAAGATGCCCATTACTTGGCTTGCTGCTGAGTTGCAAAGCTCCATTGCCAAACTCTTGTGTGCTCTTGGCGCTCCAGATCAAGCCCTTCTCTTCCATTGATTCAAATTGCCAAACTCTTGTGTGCTCTTGGCGCTCCAGATCAAGCCCTTCTCTTCCATTGATTCAAAACTGCTTGCTTTTCAGTACAAGCAGTTGGCACACAAATAAAATATGTAACATGTATGTAACACATAATCTCAAGTGGCTAGAGCCTTCTTTTGGCATCACAAAATAATAAAATAAATTTAAAAGTTAATAAGATAAAATATCATATATAAATTATAATAATTTGATTTTTTTTATAAAAATAAAAAAATTTATTCTAAACGAGACTTTTTAACTCAGGTTAAAATAATTAAAAAATTAAAAAACAATCCATTCCAAACCAACTCAGAGTTTTTCTATTAAATTTGTGTTCTAAATTTGGTTCATCACATTTAAATGGAAAAAAAAAAGTTACTTTTTATTCCTTTAATCATTTATCAAATAGATCATTAAATTTAGAATTTTTCAAATTTTTCATCAAACTAAAAATGGATGTACCTTTCATCAAATCACTATTTATTATTACTAGATTTTCATCACCAGATGTCCACCTCAAGATAAAAATTTGTGAAAAATTAACACTGGCCGGTCGACCAGCTAAACATCCGTCCAGTCGTCCACCCAATTTCACGGCCGATCGTCCGCCCGGTAGACCGGTAGCTTGATAAAACTCTGTTGGAGTACTTGGTATCAAACGAAATTTTTACTCAAATTCAAAAAAGATAAATAAATAAGTAAGAAAATAAAAATAAATAAAGATAAACAATTGGAGATGCCCTAACTTAAAGTTTTATTCCATTCTATTTCTTTTTTATATGTTATTTGTTGTTGGCATAAATAAGTTAAATAAAACAATCTCCAATCATGCATCAAACTTATCATCAAATTTGAATTGGATGAAAAATGATTTATTTTTCAGCTCCAACGGTTTCATCAAATCGGTATCAAATTCAAGATTTTCACTTTTCTTTCATCAAACTGAGGATTAATGTGCCTTTCATTAAATCATTGTTCATTGCCGTTGAATTTTCACTACTGGATGTCTCCCGAATGTCCTCCCGGATGACCACCTCAAAGCAAAAGTTTGTGAAAAAAATACACTAGCTGGTTGATCGCCTGATCGTCCTCCCAATCATTCACCCGATCGGACTCCCTGGATGATCACCTCAAGAAGAAAAATTGTAAAAAATTTGCACTGGTCGGTTGACCCTGCCGGACATCTGTCCGATGGTTTGACGAAGTCACAAAACGCTCCGTTGGAGCACTTAATATCAAAGAGAGTTTTTTCTCAAATTTTTAATCAAATTTAGTGAAAGAATTGATACACCATTAGAGATGCCCTAAATAAAATAAAATATGTAACATATATTGATTGTAATCTCAACTAGTAAAAGTTTTTTTTAATAAATTTGTGGTCTTAAATTTAAATTTTGTTTCATTCTCTTTTTTATATTTTATTAGCGCCCAACACACGCGACACTTGTGTAAGTTAAATAAATAAAATAAAATATGTAACATATATTGGGGGTGTTTGGCAATAGATTTTTTTGCCTTTTTGAATTAAAATAATACTAAAAAATAAAATTGGCTAAAATAGTTAATAAGACAAAATATTACATCAAATTCATAAACATTTCATATTTTTCCTCACAAACATTACATCAAACTAAAAAAAATCCAATCATCTTCCCAAACATAACTATTTTAATGTATTAAAATAGTTAAAAATTAAAATAGCTCACTAAAATAGTCAACTTTCTAAGGCATGGTTTGGAAAGTGTGTTGATTTTTTGACTTTTTTGGCTATTTTAGTCTGGGGCTAAAAGGTCTGGTTTGGAAAAAGCTTTTGCTTTTTTTGATTTTTTCGTGAGAGAAATAATGTAATGATTATTAATTGGATGTAATATTTATTGGACTAAAAAGTCTATTTTATTTTTTTGGTTATTTTAGCCCAAAAAAAGCCGCTAAACCCTCTTCTCAAACCATACCTAGACAACACAATTTTATGTGATTCAATAATATATATCTATGGAGTCTGGTTTGAGAGTTTCTCTAGTTTGAGAGTTTCTCTCTCTAAACTTTTCTCCTCCTAGGGTTTTTGAGTGTGAGGCTGCCGGCGGTGGGGGAGGGGTTTCCGGCAGCCTCCGGCCTCCTCTCCCCTCCCCCTACCCCTCTTTTGTTCTTCCCTTTCCGTATTTTGCATTCCCATAACTTGGAAGCTTGGGCTTTCCATTCTCTTCCTCCTTTGTGAGGTGTTTCTCCCACATCCATTCACTTCAGGAGTGCCCTTCTCAGATCTGCGCCAACTCCGTTGCCTTCACCGCCGCTTCCCCGTCATTTTCTCCATAGCTTGACCGCCTCTTCTCCGCTGCCTCTTCCTTGTCGTCTTCTCCATTCACGTCGGATCCGCCTCCCCCACAGCCTTCATCGCCTCTTCTCCGCCGCCTCTTCATCGCCGTTCTTCTCCAATGCCGGATCCGCCGAAGTCGCTGCCGGATTTACGCCGGATCCGCCGAAGCCGCTGCCGGATTTGATTGGGTGTGGGTTGTGTTGGATTTTTTTGGGTTTGTCTGGTTTTCTTAGAGTCCATATGTGCGATTTGTTTAGCTTACCCTCATTGTGGTTGGGATCTATGAAATATTTCGAATATGCTCTATTGCCGAACTTTTATGATCGGCTCTGCTTTGCAGTATGAGCACGAGTACGATATATACGTCTGAATATTTTCATATTTTTTTTCCTGAGTACTTCTTGATTTATTTTCACTTTGGGTAAGATTTGGGTTGTTTGGACTCTTATAAGTACCGTTTGGCTCTCTTAATTGACATATTTATTCCGATCAAAAAAAAAAAAAACCATACCTAGACACCCCCACTAATTGTTATCTCAAATAATAAGAGACTTCTCTGTCAAATTTATAATTTTAAATTCAAGTCTTGTTTTATTATCTTTTTTTAAAAAAAATTTAATAAATAACTGAACACTAGTCCTAAATAGAGATAAAATTTTAAAAACCAATGTAAGTGCTCGCATGTATAATAGAAGAAGATAAAATGAATTAATGCCGACATTGCTCCAAGTGAGCAAAGAAATTCCAGTGTAGTTGAAGCGATCAGAGACAGAGAAAGACACCAAAACCCTGATTTTTTTAAAAAAATAAAGAATCGTCGACAGCAGGGTTCGAACCTGCGCGGGCGTAGCCCAACAGATTTCAAGTCTGTCTCCTTAACCACTCGGACATATCGACGATGTGTGATAAGGTCCCGTTAATTTTATAAAAACTATGTTATCAGTTCCTTTTTCTTTTTTTAATTTTAAATGATTTTAGGAAATTATTCCCCTTATTTGGTTTTAGTTTTCGTATTTATTCATTTTTAGTCAGAAATTTTAATATTTTAAGAAATTTTTTTTATTTTTTAGATATACACTTAAAAAGTAAGTAATATTTATGACAAAAACAATCTTTAAAATATTCATCAAATACAAATATATATATATATATATATAAATTCAGTGCATTTTTGTATTCTTTTGTATTTACTAAATGTTTTAAATATTTTTTTTTAGGTTCATCTAAGTTATGTGCATCTAGAAAGTAAAAAAAAAAATTACTTAAAATATTAAAAAAATCACTAAAAACAAAACACAAAAAATAAAATACTCAATTTTCAAAAAATCAATTAAAACCAAATAAGGTGATTGCAACTCCATAAAGTATTATCATTAATTTTTGAGAAAATTACCGATACATCCACTCTATCAATTGTCTAAGGCATTAGGTCTAATGGATATTTTTTGTTAGTGAGAGGTTCACTCTTTTCTGAATATAATTTGGTAAGAAGTCCTTTTGTTTGTTTTGGAGGACATTTTATTTTCAATTTTACTCCTTAATTTATATGTTGATTTATTTTTATCTGTTGACATTTCATTGACCATCTGTTCAAATTTTTTAACTATCTGTTTGATTTTTTTTGCATTTTCTGTTCAAACATCTGTCTAAATTTTATTATCTGTTCAATTTTTTCATTTATCTGTTTAAATTTATCTATACCAATTTTATTATCTATCTAAATTTCTTTTATCTATTTAATTTTTTTATCTATTCAAATTTTAAACATTTTATTATTTGTTCAAAATTTGAACAACTCTATCTGTTGAAAATTTGATTCTATCTATTCAAACTTGATTCTATCTCTGGCTATCTGTGACAACCAAACCATTCATGCATCATGTATATTATATTATTCTTACATTTACGCTATCTACTATATGCTTATATGATATAGGGCTTGTTAGCAATATGATGAGAAGAAGAAGAAGTTTGAAAGGTTATGTTTGGAACCTGTTTGTTTTATGCCTTAAGTTAAGGGATAACTTAGAATTTGATTTGAGAATCATAGCAAATGCTTTAGACTTAATTGATAAACTTAAGGACCTTAGTCTAATGTGCTTGTTCATTTTATGTTATTTGTTATTTTGTTAATTATAACGATTCTGGTTTAAGCCCGATCCATTAGATGTTTTGGATTTAGATTTTATTGTCTTATAAAGTTGTTCATGTCTTGTTTCCTCTTATTTCTCTTTGAGTTTGGCTATTGGGATGTATTGGTTGCGTTTGGAACAGGTTGATAGCTTGTCTTTCAAATTGTTGTTGCCCAAATTTTAGTTTTTTCGCTTGAGCGATAATTGTAAACTCTCAGTACTTTTGCAGGCCCGCAGAGATACTGGGAGTTGGCATTCTTCGCTCAAATAACACTTTTTGCGCTCAAGCGGCCCTTCTTGAGCTCGAGCTGTAGTTTTCTGTCTGTAAAACTTTTGGGAGTTGATATTCTTCGCTCAAGCGGTACAACTTGTTGTGTCTGTACTTGAGCGATCTGTGCATATATTAATTTTAAGAAGCCACTTTTGAATCACTTTTTCATTTCTCTTTCTCTCTCTCTCTCTCTCTAAACATTCTAGAAACCCTAGATCTACACCCTCTCTCTCTAGAAGTCTACTTCTCTCTACAAATACACCTAGATCCGTCGAGTTCCTTACTCATGTCCATTTGTTAAAAAGGTAGAGCACGTCATGGGCTTCCTTTTGATCTGAACAAAGTTAGGTTTCAGCATTTTTGAAGAATCTCAATTCTTTCTCTCATCTTCTAAGCTTGAGATAGGGATTCTTCGCACTCTTTTATGATTTTTAACTTAGGTATTTGTTATTCCTAAAAAAATATTATGATTTGGGAATTTTTGGATACATCTAGGGTTTTTGATTAAAAATGAAAAAAGAGGTTTTCAAATAGATTCTTGAAAATGATTGTGGGCTTTGAAATGAGGTTGAGTTGTGATAAAATTGTTGGTTTTGAAACTTGGATTCGGTTTTGGAAGAAACTAGGGTTTTGCCCTAAATATATACATATAATGTTGATTTTGTATAAATAATGGAATTGATGTTGGAAATGTGAAGTTTGATTGATATTGATGAGGATGGTGGAGTTGGATATGTATTATCACTTACATCTTGAGATTTGGAAAGTTTATCTTTATTGAAAATCGTTTATCTGTTTAGAAATATCTGTTTGGAGCTATCAATGGAAGATAGGTATGATTGTTGTAGAAATTGTGTAAGAATTAGGAGAATTGAAACTATTATTTCATCTATTTGTATCGAGCATTATTTTATATTTATACATTGGAAATGTTTATCGTTTTAAAAAAATTGGTGAATATGTGAAGTATGTGTTGTCTCTTTAAACTAAGTTGGCTGGGTGTTCATGGTGAAAGTCCTAAAAATCGCGCATATGGGTGTTGATCCCGCGGATGAAATTTCCGTGAAACGGTAATAGTAGTGCTTGTGGAGCCTATATTTACATGGGTGCTGGTTTACGGTTTCCCACAGATGAAATTTCCATGAAAGGTTGAAATGGTTTTGAGATTCCCAAAATGTGATTCATTGTCCTATTTTCTATTGTAAAGGAAGTAATTTATAAATTCTGATATTAAGTTGGCATTACATAGTTTTTTTTGAAAAAAGATATAAAATATTTTGGCACGAGCATTGCATATGCATTTCACCCTTATATTTTTGTTAAGATTTATATATTGTATTGGATTACTTCTACTGGGTTTTGGCTTACTCTATATGGGAAAATCATTTTCAGATGCTGACGATATATCTCTGCCAATGCAATAACTTTGAAGGACTTGGAAAAAAGAACTTCATTTTTTTTTTTGATCGGAACTTCATTTTATTTATTTTGTCGTATTTGCTTTGTACAAATCTAGGGTTTTAATTGTGTTGGATTTAAATTCATTTTGTTGTAACTAAGTACTGTCTTGGAAAACTGTAAGCTTTTAGAGCATTTTTTATTTGTTTAACTCTCATTCTATTTCTCTATTTTCTAGCATATGTAATAGATTCAGGGTAAGGCTTGTGAATGTGTACCTGCATATGTTATTTTTTTTTTACAATCATTGGAACTAATGAGAGATAATTACTTATTCATTTTTTGGAATTTTTTTTGAAAAAATGTGTAAAAAAATAGAGAGGTAATATAATCCAAAAAAATAAAAAATAAAAAAGTAAGCTTTTTAACTTTTAACCCAATTGCTAAAATAAATCTACAAATTTGTGGTTTAAAAATATTTCGATGAAAGAATATATCACATTGCTACAAATATGCATAATATTATCACAAAATATTTAATTTAATTTTTAAAACATAAATTGTGATAACTTTATCAAAAGAGTGTATAATATATATTACAAAAATGTATCACATGTACCAAACAAGTGTAACCTTACATTTGTATCTTTATACCATCTATTGTTAATTTTTTAGCCCCGATTTGGTAAATATTTTGGGCTAAATAATTACATATAGATAAAAAAATAATTAAAAAAGTTAAAAAGTCAAAAAATTTATTTTGAGAAGATGGTTATAATCGGTTTTTTGATGAAAAACTGCTTATAAGCAGTTTTTTTGTGAGAGGGGAAATGGATTATAATCTGGGAAGTAGATTATAACTCAATTCTCAAAATAGGCCTAACAAAAAGTTTGTCATTCCAAAACCAAAAAGGTCAAACAAGAAAACTAAACAAACAAAAAAGTTTTAGGCTAAAAAAGTCAAAAGCCAACTAAGTAGTTGTTTGGGATATACCATATGTACTTTTTGGTTAAAAAAGTATAGAAAAAAAATATGTATGTTTGTGATAACTTTTTGACTTTTTATGAAAAGATGTGTAATAAAATTAAAATGACAATTTTATCCTTTTGACTTTTTAACTTTTGACTTTTTGAGTAGTTAAGGCCAAGTTTGGGAAGTTGAAAATAATTCATCTTTTTATCTTTTTTTCATCATATTACCTCTCTACTTTTCTGCACATCTTTTCGTAAAAAGACAAAAAATACATTTATTTAGATCATCCCAGACAACCCCTTTAAAGGATAAAATAATAATTTTGTTTTAGTGATTTTCTCCACAAGCTACTCTTAAATAATATAAACTTTTTAATTTTTTAATAACCTTTTAACTTTTTAATTTATCCTAAATAAAATCTAAAAAAATCATTACCAAACGAGCCCTAACCTAAAATCATGTCAAAAAGCATGCGACGTACTATTGTATTTTGTTCGAATCTCTTCTAGGTTAGTTATTAGCATTTTTATTTTCTCTCCATCCAAACACATCTCACCAAATGGGAAAGGGATAGATAGATAACAAACATGAGTTTGAGTGCTCACCTTCTCTCTCCATTCCCTCCTTTCTTCAAACACTCTCCAACCACCAGAACCCCTCTTCTTCTTCTTCACCCTTCAATCCCATCATCATGTAATCCTCAACAATACAACACAAAAAAGGCTCATTCTCTGCTAAAGAATCTCCTCCTCTCCTTCTCCGTTGCTCTCACCTTATCTTCTCCACCTCCACAACCTTCTATAGCAATTCCTTCTCTCAACTCTCAACCCTCTTTGCTCACCACTCCATTCTCTCAATCCAAGAACTTGGCCACCGGATTGGAAAATGGGTATCTCCCAATTCTCATTTTCTTTAATGGGTTAATACCAGTTTTTGCTAATTTTGGTCCTAATAACAATATGTGTTTTGGTTTTCATGACTTTTGATGATGAGATTCTTTGCTCTGTTCTTGCAGGAAAATCAGACCCTGTCCGTCTATAAACCCGGGCTGCGTGTCGACAAATCCAAGATCGTCCTCATTCGCATTTCCTTGGACAATTTCTGAAAATAGTCTAGATAATGCTATTCAGGTAATTCATTGGCATTTTGAGGTAAGAATTATATGAAAATCTGAATATGGTTTGGTTCTTCTTTTGTATTGCAGAAATTGCAAGAAGCTATTCTAGAAACACAGAAAAACGCCAAGATTGAGGTTGTTGAAGATACCCCACATGGTAATTAGAACTGAATTCAGCCCAAAGTTTTTTAATTTTTTGGTCAATCATTAGGAAAATATATACAATTTCAAATATCATCAACTGTTAAACTAGTCTAACCACACAAATCCACAAGCCAAAATACCAACAAATAACTAAAAACAAAAAACAGATCTGACCTAGGCTCCGTTTGGCAAGAGCTAAACGGAGCTTTTTTGGCTATCTTAGCCACAAAAGACAAAATAGGCTATTTTAGTCACAAAAAACAAAATATCACATTCAACCCATAATCATTACATTCTTCTCTCACAAAAAAAGCCAAAAAAGTCAAAAGGCCAAAAAGCCCTTCCCAAACCAAACCTTTTAGCCGAGGCTAAAATAGTTAAAAAAGCCAAAAAGCCAACCCACTTCCCAAACGGAGGCTTAGTTGGTTACCCAAAGTATTTAAAAAAGAGTAATTTTTGTTAGCAATTATGAAGGGGAGAGTTGAACTAATGGTTTTAGAAATGGAAGACAAGACATGTTGGAAAATGGTCAATTTAGGCCTCCTTTATGTGTATTTAAGTTTCAAAAGTATTGGTAGGGGCACTGGTTAGTGATACTGATTCTGTATCTTTACTGATCATGGAACTAAATTCAGGCACATATCTGCAAGCTGAGGTTGATGGAGGGTTCGGCCGAGATGTGCTAGAATTTTTGGTAAAAAGAGATGTGGTTACTTATAGATGTATGGCTACAAAGGTAACCTATGTATACCCCTTCACCACAGCTTTAGGGGATTCAAAGGGACAGGAAGAAAGAATGAAGAAGATCATTGAGCAGTTGGGGTGGTCAGCTCCAAGTTTTGATTCCATGGATTAGAATGATTCAATTATTATGTTGTATATGGAGCATGCTAGCATCACACCCTTTTCTAAAAATTCCTGTTTATTCAGTTTTAGGCATTTGTTACGTACAATTGATTTGCTCTTACTCTTTGTTAGTTAATGCTCAAGAATCTGATAGCCAAAAAAACAAAAAAAAAAAAAACAGAAAAACAGAAGCACCTATTGTATATATTTACGTATTATCATTCATTACTTTGAGTGTCCCATTTGATTAAGCTTCCTTGCTGTACAATTTTTGTTTGGTATTCATATGGCATTCTTTGATTGCTGCTCTGAAGACTGAAGAAAATGCTATTCCAATGCTGGTCCCCGTGATAATCAAGGTTGGCGGAGCTGCTCCATACTCAAACCTGTGTTCTTATTATTTCCAGCAGAGTTTTTATCATTATGGGAAACTGGTTTAAACAAAGGTAGAAAGAAAAAGAAAATAAAAAGAAAATCAAAGAAATAAGCAAAATGAACCCCTCACTTTCTGGCATTCTTTGATTGCTGCTCTGAAGACTGAAGAAAATGCTATTCCAATGCTGGTCCCCGTGATAATCAAGGTTGGCGGAGCTGCTCCATACTCAAACCTGTGTTCTTATTATTTCCAGCAGAGTTTTTATCATTATGGGAAACAAAGGTAGAAAGAAAAAGAAAATCAAACAAATAAGCAAAATGAACCCCTCACTTTCTGATACCTCTATTAATATCTCCAATGAAATTTTATAGTTTTCAGTATAAAAGACTATCTATAAATTTATAAGTAGAGCTAGATTTGAAGTTATTTCAAAGATGAACCAATATTCTAAGGCATTTTTATTGAAATGTTGAGAAACACTACCTTCCTACACAATTATGGATAAAACAAAACAATACAATGAGAAAAAAATAATAAACACACCTACCAACACAACATGTCCTCTATCTTAATACGATTGGATTTGTTCATTTAAGACAACACATTAGTGATGTTGAAAGGTGGCTACAATGGGGTTGTTTGTTGTTGCTTAAATAAGCTAATTATAGCTTATTTTAATTTGAAAGTGTGTGACAGACACTGTTTGGTGTAGCTTTTGTATGCAAATACAGCTTATTAGGCAAAAATAGTTTAAATAAGTTGAAAAAAGCTAATTATCTGGAAATAAACTGAAAAAAGTGTCACGACTCAAACCCGCCCCTATGGGTTTAGTACCGTAACCGGCCAGTAATCCGAGATTACCGAAGGCCTGCTTAATAGTAATACAGTAAAACAGAGTACAGGGGCCTGGCGGAAGCCAATACAGTAAATAAATAATGTCCAATGAGCTGTGACAGTCTGTATGCTAAAAAGACTTTTCATAAATATATGCAGTCGGTGACAAAGCAGTATGTACATCATTTATAATCATTTAGATCAGGGACCTAATCTCTATTAAACAGTACAGTAACAGTCTATACAGTCTACAAAACAGATGGGGGAATTTCAAACACCCCCTAAGCCAAAGCTTGATAGGCTCGGAACCTCGCAGTGAGGCACAGTGGTTGGCTTGACAAAACTGGAGCTTACCCCGACGCTTCTAGCCGCGGTCTGGTGCCTGTACACCTACATATATATATGAGCAGTGAGCTAAAGCCCAGTGAATAACACAATGCGTAAAAAGGTTAAGAATGAATGACCTTACAATAATGAAAGCAGTTCATTGATTTAGTATATCGGTCATCCAGTCATATGTGGTACATCCATTAGCATAACAGTACAGTAAACGGTAGGTCTTAAAAGACCGAACAGTAAATGATGGCCATCAATCAGTAAACAGTAGTGGTTCCAACAAGGGAACCGACAGAGATCTCTGTAACAGTGACAGTAAACAGTGGTTGCTAAGGATGCCACAATACAGTTCAGAATATAGGATATACATTCATTCAATTAACAGTATCAGTTCAGAAAGCAGTACAGTTCAATTGTTCAGAGATAATCATTTTTGAACATATCTTTACACAGTTGTTACTCATAGAGTTCTGGGCTACAGTAAAGCTAGAGCGCGTCCCCAGTCGCCAACCTTACACAGTTTACAGATTGAACGCACACTAAGCTACACAGTTGGGAAAATAATAACTTAATCTCTAATTTGCCTCGGTGTGTTCTACATCTATATCCTCATTAAGATACCTTAAACTAGGCCTAAGAATGCCTAGGATGAAATGAGGATGCAAAGATGCACTTTAAAAGCATTTTCAGAAAACAGGGGTCCCGCTCGAGCGTAGGTTAATCCGCTCGAGCGGACATGCAGACAAAGGTTTCTGCTCGAGCGCAGACTTGAACGCTCGAGCGTACTGCAAAACAGTCAAAAGTGCTGGATAGGTGAAATTCACGCTCGATTGGGCGCTCGACACCCGCTCGAGCGTAAAACACAAGGTCTCGCTCGAGCGTAAATTACCCCGCTCGAGCTGACCTAAAAACAGAACAAAATGCTGGGAGCATGATTTCCACGCTCGAGCGCCAGTAACCCCGCTCGAGCGTGAGTTCAAAATCTGGAATTCCCAGAGTTGAACTTCAAGCTCAAATTCAACTACAAATGTATCAAATTCGATTCCTTTGGGCCCATTTTCTGGAAAACTCTTGTAAACACATAATATTACATGGCTCAAAGCTCAATTTGTAAAATCAAAGCCTAAGGGTAGTTCAAACAAACCCAATTTCAAATCAATTTTCATGACAACAATTCAAATGAACATGCATGAGTTGTAAATCAATTCAAAGCTTCAATACATGCTCTAATGAGTCAAATCTTTCAAAAACATGATGGTTTCATGAACCTTAGCTAGAACTTGTACAAGCATGCAACAATTATCCATGAAATCAACTTAAAACTCAACAATACCAACGTGCATGCATGGAATGAGCTCCAATTCAACATTATTAGACTAAGACATGACTTAGCTCTCTAGAGGCTCAAGAACCATGCAAGAACAATCTTAAATACATCAGTGAAAAGGTGAAATCCTTACCTAAGTCTTGAATTATAAGGTATAGGAGCTCAAATTCACAATTATCTTCTAAAATCTCCAAGTTTACAAGCAACTATCAAGGAGGAACTCACTTCCTCTCACTCTAGCTCTCTTGGTCGGCAAGAACAAGGGAAATGAGCTGAGCTAATGTTTGATCTAGGTATAATGAGGCTCAAAGGTGGTCTAGATAGTGGCCACTCACAATGGCAAAATAGTAATTAAGTCCACAATGCAATTTAACCCATTTTAATCTAATTAAAACATACCAGATCAATTTTCAGATAAATATGCCATAATTTCACATTAATTCTAACAATCATAGAACATAAATCGATTTCGGATTCGGCCGCCGATAAGGCCTTCAATTAACAGTTTAAACATAAAAACTGAACAGATAATTAAATAGTCAACAGATAGAAATGCAATTCAAATAGATATATTCAATCAATCAGTTTCAGATTTCAGTCAGTCAGTCCAGTATTTCAATCAGTTCAATTACCAATCATAATCAGTCTCAGTTTAGCAGTAATCGGTAGTTTATCGGTAAACAGTGGCGAGGGTTGTTACAAAAAGCTAATTATCTGAAAGTTAAGGAGAGGTGCTTTTAGCTTCTACTTTTTTATTATTAGCTTTCAACTTGTAATAAGCTGCATCAAATAGGCCAAATTGACAAATTATGAGAAGTGTCTTACACTTTTGAAGCACAAAAAAAAACAAAATATATATATATATATATATATTTTCATTTCTTTCAAATGATGCTCGTACTTGAGTGCTTATCATCTCATCTAGATTATGTTAACGCATCCAAACTAGGCCTCTGTTCGTTTTTAATTACCATTAAGAAGGAAATGTAAAGAACTAAGTTCGGATATTTATTTATTTATTTTTCACAACCACATGGAGAAAATTGTTGGGTTACAGAGAATTATATGTGGTACACAAGGTGTCAATTGAAGGAACTATAACTAAAAACCCTTCACACATGGATCATGGGTGTTTGGGAACATAGTTTTTTAGTTTTTTTTTTCACTAAAAGACAAATTGGTTAAACAAAAAAAAAAAAAAAACAAATCCAAACAAAATATCACATCAAACCTCATAATCATTTCACTTTTTCTCTCACAAACATCACATTCAACCACAAAAAAATCCAACTATCTTCCCAAACACAAATTTTTTTTTCTCCAATAATATACTACAACTAAAAAAACTTACAAAAAACTCACTTCCCAAACACCCAATAGTTGTGCCTAGTGTTCCTTATTGTGCACTATTAGATATCCCCTTGAGCAACTACTTATACATGTAAAAATCGTTATTAAATGGTTTCTTTGTGAAGATTAAAGGACCTTATTTATAAACCATTATAGTTGGGAAGTGAGTTGGCCCCTAAAAATCTATATGACTTTGTGTTTTATCATACTGAACAAAATGTACAAAAAGAAAAATTATGGGTTGTGCAGACTGAGAAATGATGCATTCATGGAATTAACATTACCATATCTTGCAAAATGAAAATCTAGAAGACCTTCCCAAGACGATACTAACATGAGGCTGCCAAATATGCATAAGATTGGTGAACAAGTTCTGAAATAATTTGCTACTACATATATACCAGAGGTCAAAGCTTCTGTGAAAAAGAGCTTTAATGTGTTCACTTGGGGGAAACAAAAAAAAAAAAAAAAAAGGTGTTGTGACTAATATGCATCCCTTTACATTGAGATTAAAGGACCTTATTTATAAACCATTATAGTTGGGAAGTGAGTTGGCCCCTAAAAATCTATATGACTATTGCGTTTTATCATACTGAACAAAATGTACAAAAAGCAAAATTATGGATTGTGCAGACTGAGAAATGATGCATTCATGGAATTAACATTACCTTATTTTTCATCAAACTTATTGGCCATATCTTGCAAAATGAAAATCTAGAAGACCTTCCCAAGACGACACTAACATGAGGCTGCCAAATATGCATAAGATTGGTGAACAAGTTCTGAAATAATTTGCTACTACATATATACCAGAGGTCAAAGCTTCTGTGAAAAAGAGCTTTAATGTGTTCACTTGGGGGAAACAAAAAAAAAAAAAAAAAAATCAATGAGTAGCTCCAACCCTTCAAGGTTAGTACTCTGATTTGTGATACCACAAGGCATGCGAGTGGTTTTTTTTTTTGTTTTTGTTTTTGGTGTGATGCGTTCAAATTTCGGGACAACCACTTTATGCATTATGCCAAAGATTA